CCATCTGGTGTCTGTTGCTTTTCTTAATCTGACGAAGCTTACAAGAAAAGCGAAAAACCCCACCTTTTCCTTTCAAGTTTCAACCCACCAAAATTTCTTAACTTCACCAAACTCAGATCCAACAGTCTTCCCCTTCTTTTTCAGGTACGAGTAACACTTCTTTTGCACAATTAGGGTATTTAGTTTCTTCATTTACAGCTCTAGTTCATTGTTTTGTGCCTTTGTTAATGTTCCTTAAAACCTGCATTAACTTTCGAATTTCTGTTGTTTTTGTTGTTGTCTGATCATAAAGCAGGGTGCTTTATAAATGATATTTTAGAACTTATTTTCTATATAAGCCTTTTATGCTTTCTGATTGTGTTGGCTTTGGCTTTTCTTTTCTTTTTTTGTATTTTTTGGAATACTTTTTGTTTGCAGTGTTTGTTTGGTTTGTTTATTAAACAATGGAATCGAAACCCAAGAGGAGAGGTGCTATGGAGAATGGGGATGCAGGGGAAGACTCGGTAGTTGCGACTATGATTGGGAATGGGGATGATTTGGGTCCTCTGGTTCGACGTTCCTTCGAAATGGGGCGGCCTGAGGCGCTGTTCACAGCTGAAGCATATTGTGAAAAAGAAAGAAGTGGAAATTGAGGAGCTCTGCAAGACTCACTATGAGGAATTCATTCTCGCCGTGTGAGCTTCGGGGTGTCTTGGTTGATGCCGAAGAGCTTAAAAGCGATCTTTCTAGTGATAATTTTAAGTTGCAGGAGGTCGGGGGTGCTCTTTTGGAGAAACTTGAAGAGCTTTCTTGAATCTTTTTCAATTAAGAAAATGTGACTGAAGCTATTAAGAAGTCCAAGATTTGTATTGAGTCTTGGAGCTCGTTGTCAAATGCAACACTTACCTTTCAGCAGGCCAGTTTTTCCTGGCATTGAAAACTGTGGATTTGATTGAGACAAACTACTTGCAGAATATTCCGTAATGCAATCAAAACAATATTCAGAAGAATATTCCTATAATAAAAGCACATATGAAAAGAAAGTTACTGAAGACTTTAATGAATGGCTAGCCCATATTAGGAGTTCTGCCAAGGATATTGGACAGACAGCAATTGGTCATGCTGCATCACTACGCCAGAGAGACGAGGAAATGATTGAACGACAAAGAAAAGCCGAGGAACTGAACATTTCTGGCTTAGGAGATACAGGTTATTCATTAGATGTCGAAGAGCTTGATGAAGATTATGTTTTGAAGTTTGATCTTACTCCTCTATCGGGCATATCACATCCATTCCTGCCTTGGAACCCAAGAGCAATTCGTGAATATTACTACAAAAATCGTTTATTACAACTCAATTCAGATTTGCAAATCTCTTCTTCAATACCATTTGTTGAATCATATCAATCCTACCTAGCTCAAATTGCAGGCTACTTTATTGTGGAAGACAGGGTCTTCAGGACTTCTGGAGGCTTGTTGTCTGCTGATCAAGTTGAGACGATGTGGGAAACTACTGTTGCAAAGTGGCATCAGTTTTGGAAGAACAATATTTCATATGGATTCTGCAACACATCTTCTTGGTGAAGGATTATATAGCTCTTCTTGGGGCAACTCTTAGCAGTATGGGTATGAAGTGGGGTCAATTCTCGAGGCCTTGGATAATAGCCGAGACAAATACCACGAGCTTCTTCTTGAAGAGTGCCGTAAGCAATTGATAATGTTATTTCTAATGATTCCTAAATCAGATGGTAATAAAGAAGGATTCTGACTATGAGAGTAATGTTTGGCATTTCATCTTCATACGTCAGATGTAATGCCAACATTCCATATATTGCACCATTCTCCTTTATGGTGCCTGATTGCTGCCGCATTGTGCGATCCTTCGTCAAAGCTCAGTTGATTACTTGTCTTTTGGAGTTAATTCCAATTTTTATGATGCAGCGAGGAAGTATTTGGGACAAACTCTTGATTGATGTGCTTAATGAAGTTGTACTGACACTGTTCAGAGTGATGGCATTACTGTATCTCAAGCCATGCAGATTGCTGCAAATATAACATTTCTTGAAAGAGCTTGTGACTTTTTCCTTCAACATGCTGCCCAACTCTGTGGGATTCCGGTTCGATCAGTTGAGAGGCCTCAGGCCAGTTTGACTGCCAAGGCAGTTTTAAAAACTTCAAGAGATGCAGCTTATCTGGCTCTCCTGAAATTGGTAAATAGTAAGTTAGATGAGTTCTTGGCACTTACGGAAATTATAAACTGGACTTCTGAAGAGATATCCCAAAATAATAGTGAGTATATGAATGAGGTAGTCCTTTACCTTGACAGTGTTTTCTCAACAGCACTGCAAATCCTGCCATTGGATGCATTGTACAAAGTTGGTTGTGGGGCACTTGAGCATATTTCCAATTCTATTGTTGCTGCATTTCTTACTAATAGTGTCAAGAGGTTTAATGCCAATGCAGTCATGGTTATCAACCATGATCTACAGGTGTTAGAGAATTTTGCTGAAGAGAGGTTTGACAGCACTGGCCTGAGTGAGATATACAAGGAAGGCAGTTTTCGAAGTTGCTTGATAGAAGCCCGGCAGTTGATAAACCTTTTGTCCAGCAGCCAGCCTGAGAATTTCTCGAATCTTGTAATACGGGAGAAATCCTACAATGCTTTGGATCATAAGAAAGTGGCTAGCATCATCGAAAAATTCAAGGACTCAGCAGATGGGATCTTCGGGAGCCTTTCAACCAGAAATACAAAAACAAGTTCACGGAAGAAATCGATGGATGTGCTGAAAAAAAGATTGAAAGACTTCAACTGAGAATGATTCAAATGTTGCTTGCATTAAAGCCGTTGTCTATTTTGATCTTCATATTCCTTTTCCCCCCTTATATGGTTTGTAGCTCGTATGATCATATAGATTATTATAATAAAGTTTTTACATTCCTATTGATTCTCTTGCTCTTTTCTTTTTTCTGGTTAACCAACTGGGGAAATAGTTCAGGATATCGCATGATACATGGGTTTAGGTTACTTTAAACTCTACTTACAATCAGTTTAGATACATATGAGGTTTGATATTCAGTTAATGGTAATGGTATTGGACATTCATGTTTCTTCATTTTATTTATTGTATTATATGTAGAATTTAGGTCTTTATGATCAATGGGATGACAATTCTTTACAAGGAACAAGCTATTTCTGGCCAAAACCTTTTGAGTGGTTGCAACAACACTCAGAACATTTTGGTCTTACGAGAACAACTTATAGCTATGTTACTTAGGCTCCGGTGTGAGCAAGAGATACTAGTAACAGTTGGAGATGGGTATGTTTAATCTTTTCTAACTTTCTGATGTATTTGAAGGATCCTTGGAGGTTATATCCTCGTACCCATATATGAATATGTTTCAGACATGAGTATTGGATACAGGTACTTAATGAAAATGAACTTAGGATTATAGTAACTGCTCTACCCCACTTTTCTATCCCCTGTTTCAGGTTCTCTCTACTTACAATTGTATTATCAGAATTAGTCTTTAAAGAGCTGGTTTGGAGCTGCATTTGATCAAAATTGCTGAATTACATGCGCGTGTCAAACAAGGTAAAATTATCTTTCAAAAGATGATTTTATGATTATCAGAGTTAGTCTTTAAGTGGATTTGTGCTAATAATATTATTGAAATGGATGCCATCCTATCTTTAAAAAGAATTGAGAAATATGTATAAGAAGAATGTCCGCAACACTTGGACTCACAGTCTTGGAAAGCTGGCTAAGCTTTCTTATGCTTCTAGCAATTGCCTTGTTGCTAACAAGGCTGGTCAACCATTTTCTGTTAATTGTTCTCTGAATATATGAACTCAAAAAGACATGAAACGTTTAGACTTTTATTTCGTTGATTAGGTGCAAGGTTTGGTTTCACCCTGGATGAAGAATTGAAGAAATCTGCTGCTTGTGATGATGTCAAAACAGCTCTTGCAGCTGAAATTAGCAGAGAGCATATTGGGACTGAATTATGTTTTTCTTACCCATTAAGAGTGCTGCTGCTCTGTGTATAATTATATGGGGATATTTATGTTAAGCCCAAAGGGACATTAGCTGCTGCTCTATGTACCTTTTTAAACTTGGGGATTGTTCTTTTTCTTTTCTATATTATGCAGGTTGATTTCATGATCTCTGGCAATCAACTTGTTAAAGCAATTGACCACATCTGTGACTTGTCATTATTTTCAGCTGGCTTCAATCTCCCACGAAAAGATGAGCCAGCTGTATCAGGGGAATGCTATAGGTTTCTGGCTAATTCAATAATGTTATATATTTTCTTCATCTAGACTCATTTTTATCGTAAGGCAAGTTTACTCGACTTCATAAGGTCATGTAAGAGTGAAATAAAATCTTAAATGTCCGGTTAGCTATATAATCAATGGGAGCAGTGCACCAAAACAATGGAAACTTGAATGACCAGGGCAATTTTAACTGCTTTTTCGGGCCATTCCTCCCTGTAGGATTATTGATCAAATAGATGAATCTGTTTAGCCTGCCCTCAATGTCCAGGGCAATGTTTACTGTACAGGAAGCTTGGGTTGGATCATGATTCTGTTTTAGAAATTTTAATGCACAGATTTGAAGGCAGTTCGGTTTGATTCGATACTCTATTTTACAGTTCATGTACTATATAAAATATAAAAAAAACATATACTTGTTGCCTAGTCAAACCAAACTTGTTGTCTAGTCTAATATGGAGAATGCAGAAGTGAAGAGCTATCAATGATTGACTTTTATTTATCATTCTAAAAAATAAATGGTATTACAATAAAAATTATATCTTTATTGTATTTTTACAATTTTGATATAATAGTCAGTGTGATCAAATATTAAAGAGATTGTTTAAGAGTTTCAAAGCGTTTCTTTCATAAAAGCATTTTATGTATTTTCTCAACAGCAGCAATAAAAGAATTTTAAAACAATAAAAAGTCTGGTAAATCCCCATATCCCCACGCCATAGTTTTTCCTCTATTTTTCTTTCCTATTTTTACAAATAACGAAAACAAAGAGAGAAAGAGGATAATAAAACAAAGACAACCCAACTGACACAATTACTCTCCCCAGTCCCCACCCCCACCATGCAATTGAAACCTCTCAACACCTTCACCGTTACGCTCATGTTGTTCTTCACTTTCTTGATCCTCTTCTTCTCCGGTTTCCTCGAATTCCCTTCCGTTTCCTCCTCTATCCAACGACCCTTTTCCACCTCTCCCCTTACCCTTTCTTCCAGCCCCCACCCTTTCACCGATCTGCTCTCTGCTTTCAGGACATGGGATTCTCAAATGGGTTGTGCCCGATTCAAGCTCAAACATCACGATTTGATCCGTTTGCTTTCCAACAGCTCTGGGTCGTTGCAGGAAGCTGGTGGCGAGTCTTCCTGCAATCAGTTGAAAATGGAGCATGTTAGTGTTTTGGTAAAAGGCTGGACTTGGATTCCTGATAATTTGGACAATTTGTATTCTTGTCGATGTGGGATGAGTTGCCTGTGGACTAAATCTTCCGTTCTGGCTGATAAACCTGATGCCCTTTTGTTCGAGACCTCAACCCCTTCATTTCAGGTAGTTTTCCTTCTTTCTTTCTTTTTTTGCCTTTGCCTTTTGCTGGAATATAGAAAATTTTGATTTATTTGCTTGAGTAAAGTTGAAATCATGGAGTTGAAATGGCTATTTGGTTAAGTATCTATCTGACCTGCTTGATTTGTGGATTCAAAGCTGAGATATTCTTTCAATTCGTATCACAAGAAGATCGTTGTGTAGTTCATCAAAATATCAGTGAAGTAAAGTCTTTTAGTAATTAGCTGCTGCCTGATGTGTACAAGATGTTTAGGAACAAGAGGGAATTTTATTTTTTTAGTAAGAGCAACCTTGGTAACCAATTAGATAGATAGATTGCAACGGTTTAACCTAAGAGATTTTACTTTTTGTTGTGTCAGGGATCTCTTCTCCCGTTTAACCATTTGTTAATTTGAGCATTAGATAAATCATTATGCATGGACATAGTTCAAAACTTTTAGGGTATATGACCAAAGAAAAGAAGACGAGCTTTGTTTTGCCTGTTGTGGGAGTAGGGTTCAGAAGTTGGGGTTCCTTAAAAGAAAATATCAGATCATGTATTTTTCCTATTTACTTGGGTTGGCTCATGGTTCATTAATTTATGCATTCATAGATGCTTTATAGAAAATCTCTCTTTTATGATATAGGAGACCCCTTCATCAACTTGCTCCATTGAATTTTGGTTGCTAAGAGGGTATTTTTATTTTAGGTCTGTAAAGAGAGGCAAGAGACAAAAATATTTCTGTCTTTGTGCCCTTCCCCTTATCTTACGCACGAGAAGATGAAAAAGAGGGGTATGCCTCTCTTTTATGATATAGGAGACCCCTTCATCAACTTGCTCCATTGAATTTAATTCAAGCTCTAATTCTTTAATCACACTGTAGGATAGGTCCTTCCCCTTATCACCCTTATTCAATAATCCTCTTTTTACTCTACTTTTGGTCTAATCCGTAATCAATTAAGCCCAATACTTGACCCGCTAGCCCAAACGAACATATAATCCATGATTATCGAGGCTTGAGTTAATGCACGAACATTGACTCGTAATTTGGGTTGTTACATGACCGTGGTAATTATTTCCCCCTTTGATTCAAAATGACTAGTCTAGAAAATTTTGTCCAAAGAACCTTGTTGGTATCTTGTTAGAGAAAAATATTGTCAGACGATAAAGTGGAAGAAATCTAAAAACATTCAAGATATAATTCATCACATTTTTTAAAATCCTGCTAATTAAAGCTAGTTCTGCCCCTACCGAAGGCTGAACTACTGTCTCTTGTTTTTCATTATCATCTTGAATATTGTAACAAACAAGGTCTTCTGTTGGAATGACCTTACCATATGAAGAGATGCAAGAAAGATAAAGTAATCTTTCACTTTGGTTTTTCTTCCAGCCAAGCATCAGTTAAGTCCTTTGATTTATTATTCTTTATCCTCTATAATTAATGTCCTTGCTTTTGCCTTATTCTTTGACATGTCCGTGCTTTTGCTCAGTTAAATATTGGTCAACAGAACTAGAAGATGTTCACCTTGGCTTGTTACAATATTCAACCAGTAGAATAGCTACACATGGATGTTTTGGTTTCCTGTTGCTGCTTTTTAAGATAATTATACATCCAATCTTTGATTAGTATTTTCCAGCATCATTTGAAATAGTCTTTTCTTTTTGTTTAGAGGCACAGAGGAGATCCACTTCGTGTGTACATGGACCTTGAGGCTGGCAGGAAGCGTTCAGGTCGGGAGGATATATTCATTAGTTACCATGCAAAAGATGATGTTCAGTCAACTTATGCTGGTGCTCTCTTTCATAATGGTCGAAATTATCACATATCATCAGATAAGAACAATGTGAGTAGCTGGCTTATATTTCTTTGTACGTGTGTTACCTCAATAATACCCTTAGATAAATACATGGTTGTAATCACATTAGGGGTTTTTCTTCTTCTTTAAATGTATTTCTAGGATACACTTGTTTATTGGTCTTCATCACGTTGCCTTTCTCGAAGAAACCAGCTTGCTAAGAGTCTTCTCAAGTTGCTGCCTCACCACTCCTTTGGCAAATGCCTGAACAATGTTGGTGGTTTGGACATGGCCCTTTCCTTCTACCCTGAGTGTGCAAATGATGCCAACAACCCAAAGTGGTGGGATCATTTACATTGCGCTATGTCTCATTACAAATTCGCCCTCGCAATTGAAAATACCGTTACAGAGAGCTACGTGACCGAGAAGCTATTTTACGCTCTGGACTCTGGTGCAGTACCTATCTATTTTGGAGCTCCCAATGTGCTGGACTTTGTCCCTCCGTATTCAATCATAGATGGAACCAAGTTTAGCTCCATGGAGGAATTGGCTTCCTACGTGAAAGCCATTGCTAATGATCCTGTAGCTTATGCAGAGTACCATGCCTGGAGAAGATGTGGTGTATTAGGTAACTATGCAAAGGCCCGTGCAGCGAGCCTCGACACATTGCCATGCCGATTGTGTGAGGTAGTTAGTACAAAAGGTGGGAGAAATGCAAGAACAGAATGAGTTTATTGTTTTATATACTTCACACTTTACTCTCCTAGTATTTGGTAACCCATTTGTAACGAGTCATCAATTTTGTGTTTGATCTAATAGAATTTAATGCAAAATGACCAATGGGATTTGTTGTAGATGTGTAAAGATCAATTTTGTACTTGGATCATTTGCATTCATGTTTACAAGATGGAGAGATGGTAATTTGTGGAGAGATGGTAATTTAGATCCATGCTCTTTGCTGAAATTATTCATCTTGGATGGAAATAAACAGATACATGTCTTCTGTAAATGAAAATTGATGGTCAATGTCATACACAGTTTAAATCGAACTTAAAATCTGAATACTTTCACCCTACCATTTTAATCTATAAGCTTCCTTTGGATTTACATGTTAAGCAGTTGTTTGGTAAAATCCATCTGTGAAAAATAAGATTATTTATTTGTATTTATTTTAGTGAGGTGATATAATTTAATCATGGACACCCTTTCGCTAAATTACTTGCACAAAAGCAAAACCCACATTAAAGAAGGGTTTCATTCAAGTTAAGCACGATGTGGTTGCTAATTAAATTTGCATTTGCTGCCGAATTTATTATTCCATTTATATATTGTATGTGACAGTATATGCATGCTGGGTGTCCATAAATAATACTTGAAACGCAAGGCATCTATGTCTGGTCTCGTGCGTAAACGGTTGTTGAATCTTGTAAGAGACGTAACCATCTGTTCTCAGATATTAATGGAACAAATACATATAGCATTTAATACTAGACATGGATCTCTGATTATGATTTGCACACATTGTCAGTAATTAAACCCACATTACTTACTATTTCATGCCAAAGTTTTTTTGCGTGAGAGATCCGTACCTTTTACCTCTGAATTTAAGAAAACAAATAAAATTTGCCGTGCACGGAAATTTCGTCTAAAAACGAAAGAAGCAGGTTTTCACTTGAAATAATTTATTTAATTAAGTGAATTAAACAGGGTATTAAAAAACTTCATCTACTTGAATAAATTCTTCACTGGTAAGCCACCAAAGTCTACCTACTTGCCCATCTCAACAAACTCAATTAATAATTCTAAAAAAGAATTGAATATCGTAACCATGTTTTGTTCTGAACCTTGTATCAATTCAGCTAATTCCTTGGAGTTCACAAGTCAACTAAATCTCATAAAACTTTCAGTTCCATCAACTGAAATTTTACGAGAAAGATAATTACTGGGGTCGAAATGACTCTACATTTATACTATTAATGGTAGAGTAAAATATATGCAACGGTGCAGGTAGCAGAGAACAATATATAATAATAAAGAAGGTGATAGATACAGAATCACCGCTTAACTTTGGAAAAATTAAGATCGATCTGGCTTTGTCTATGGTGGTCCAATGAAGCTCTGCATTACTCCCACATGGAGTAATGTAATCTTCACTCATATTCTCATTAAACATCACATGCAACATTACAGACGAGTTTCGATCTTGAAAACATCATCATCCATCATTCTCTCCTCATATTACATAGAAAATACAAAGATAACCAAAAGAAAGATTTTTGTTTTGTTTTATTAACACCATGATTAAGTAATCCCAGTAAGTGACTGATATGGCAATGGGTGTTGTATTTAACGAGAGCGACGATTAATTAGGCCATAATTAGCTGTTCTGCTACTAGCCCTTGGGAGATATACTATTGATTCTGTAAGTGAACAAGTTCTTTTACAACAAAGGTTAATGAACCCGAACCTTTCACTGATACTCCTTGTAACCTTAGCTCCTGCTGCTCTCCACAATTTGATATCATCGTTATCGTCATCGTTGTCATCCTTGGAACATTCAACCAACGCCGTGAAAAAGGGGTCCTTCCGGAAACTCTCAGCAGCGGCGGCGGCGGCGGTGGAAGTTTTCTTCCGGGATAGCAAATTTCCCAATATGTTCTTCCTGGAGGTTGGTGGAGTAGCCGGAGGTGGCAATGGAAGCAACTTGATGGATTCGTTCTTCTTGTGGTTTTGTAGCTTCTTAGGGATACCCGGTAAACGTTCCCAAGAAAATGGTACGCCTGAAAACCGGACTGGAGCCGCTGGACTGACAGGAGAATCATCTTGAAAATACGAGGATCCCAGTGAAGATGACAATGTTGCCGATGAAGACGACGACGAAGATGAAGAGAATGAAGGCGTTCGCCGGGAAGAAGGGTATTTGGCTGTGGAAAGTAAGGTGTCACGTTTTTGCGTGGATGAAGAAGCCATAGCTTATTCGCTATACAGAAAAAGGAAGGCTAGAGGAGACCAGTATGTGTTTTATATGGTGTAGTCTGATTTTATTTTTTTCTTTTAATTTGATATCTGCAATTATATATATTTATATAGATAGATAGATATATAATATTTAACTTATTATTTTTTCAAAACATTAAAGAAAAAGGTAAAATAATTATTAATATTAATTAATTGAATAACGACCCCAATGGGCAAGGCATTGATGGGAAAGGTTCAGGAGAGAAAAGGACTCAGCATGGGATGATAATTAAATATGAGAAGTATTTAAATAAAAATTAGGGTAAAATATATAAGTGGTCCTCAGACTATAGACATTTGTTAAGTCTCGTGACTATTAAAAATTATAAAATAATTCTTCGATTATAGGGCATTTTTTTGTTGAGTCCTCCGACTATTATAAATTATAAAATGATCATCTTACTACTTATATGTTCAAAACTCATCCTTTTTCGTTAAAAAATTGATGACCATTTGATATGGATATTAACATAATGATTGAGATATAATAAAATCTGATCACATAATCATTTTAGCTGTATTTTGTGGATTGAATTTGCGCTTAAATTATGTCATCGAATAGTGCTTGAAATTGTACTATTGATGCCTAAAACGACTTTATTTTAGGCACTAAACTTTATAGACGTATCGATTTTGCTACTAAGCTTTTAAACATTTTACTTTTTGTTACTACATTTTTTGACCGCCATCGATAATCAATTGTTTTCCATCACTAATCGTCTTTTGCGATAAGATCAATACTAAAATTTTGTATTTCACTCCCCTTTCTTCTCGTATGATTATTTTTTTCATGTAACACACTCAAAATTTACAAAATTAAACAAAAAAAATCATCACTTTAGGGGTTTATAGCTTTCTCATATTTGAGAGGTTTGTAGTGTTTGTTTGAAAATCCTAGCATTGAGAAACATTATGTCGAGAAGACGAAAAAAATACCTCAAAATTAGTCTCATCGAAAAACCATCAAAAGGATATGAGAGTATTAGCACATTGAATCTTTTTATGGATTTCGTCTGTTTGAGTAGGTTTCATAGAAAACCAATCATATGAGAAAAAAAGAGGAGTGACTGTGAATGTTTTGATGTCGATTTTACTGTAAAAGACGATCGATGACGGCTAACGATTGGTTGCTAATATTGTCAAAAAAGTTTAGTGCCTAAAATTGAATCTTTTAAAAGTTTAGTGGTAAAATTAATACAATTCTAAAGTTCAGTGCCTAAAATATTGTTATTTTGGGCCATGTCAGAATGATATCGTTTTGTTCACATCATCATAATGGCATAAATATATATTTTTCACATTATCATATCGTTAAAAATTTAATGATCTAATAGTATAATTGATGTCAAAATCAAAATATAATACTATAATCAAAATAATTAAAAGTTTAATAATATATATAATATATCAAATAAAGTTTAGAGATATTTTAGATAGCTTATATATATATATATATATATAAAAATCCGCGGCGTAACCGGGTAGATATTGTAGTTTGTATATAAAATAGAAGTGGCTTTGTGAAATTCGGAAGCGGAATTCTCGAAACAGGAAGACGACACGTAATGGCATTCTTTTTTTTTTAAGGGAAAGGAAATAAATTTCATTAAATAAATACACACACACAAAAAATTGAATTTAAAAGGGGAAAAGCAGAGCTAAACATATATTCGATATGAACAGAAATTTTTTTCTGAGTTTATTCTGTTTCATAATTGCTTTGTGTTGTTTGATCGAAATGGCTGAATCTGCAGATGCTACGGAATCATCGTCGTCTTCGCCGGCGATCCACATCATTTACACCGAGAAGCCTCAGGATGAGCAGCCTGAAGCCTACCATCTCCGAACCCTCGCATCCGTCCTCGGCAGCGAAGAAGCTGCTAAGGATGCCTTGATCTACAGTTATAAGACGGCTGCCAGCGGCTTTTCCGCCAAGCTTACTCCCGAACAGGTTGCCGAGATATCGAGTAAGAGCCTTTTATAATTAATTTCTCTGTTTTTAAAAATATATATTATTACCTTGTTATTGTTATGAATCACTATATTATTTCGGTTTCTTCTATTAAGAATTACGATTAACTTGGGAACTTGTAAAATTAAATTCCTGAATTGAGAATCAGGATTAGCATGTAATCTTGAGGAAGAATGAAAAATTATAAACAAATAGCAGAAAGGAAAATGCTTCAAGAGTCTTTACTTTATCCAAAATAACTTGGTTTTAGTTTTTCTTGGTAAAGCATGCTTTTATTTCTTTCTGGATGAATAATCTTCTATCAGAAAAATGAAAATACCAGTGTGGAAATTACTCAATGGTATTCAATTTCTCATGCAATCCATCATTGAGGAAGAGTTATCTGCTGAAGAACATTCCAGTCGCTAGAATTTGAGTCTTGGAACTTGAATGTTTAATCTATGTGGTGTTATTATCACTTTCTTGTGGTTTTGCATGGAGCATCCTCACAAGTCAAACTCGATGCGTGACAAAAAATGCTAATTAGATTTTCTTTTAACAAATTAACTTTGTTTTCTCGTTTGTAAGTTGTAACACAGTTCTTGAACGGATTTTTTAACTTAACATGTTTAGAAATCTCAAAGTAATATTTTTTTTCTTAGTTAAACAACTCAGTTCCCAGAAATACAACTTTTAAAGCATTTGGCCTTTTCTTTCATACCTTTTTTAGGATTCAGCTCTCTCTCTTTGAGGATTATAAGTGCAATATCTTTTCCCTGCACCATCAATCTCTTGTGAATTGCTAATGCATTTTCATTAAAAAGTGTTTTGGTTTCTAGATGTCTTATCTTCTCTCTCTCTCTCTCTCTCTCTCTCTGGTGTGGGGGAGGATAATGCTTGTTTTATTTTCTAAGTTAGGGACCTTTCACACTTTTCTCTGATTTCAGGCAATTGTGTCTATTG